AGGTTTAGTCACTTTCCAGGTAAACATGTTTGCTGAGCTAGACCCTTCCACCCAGTAAAAGTGAGAAGCCTGGCTCCCTAACCACACCTGCAACCAGAACCTGGCGAGTCCAACTTGTCATGTATATACACGCCAAAAAAACTTTGGCCCATTAGACTGGGTTGTGCCCAAATTCCTAAGTGCAGGTTGTAAGTGCTGATATGGCTTGGGTGGGGGAGGGTCTACGAACTCAAGCAAAGCACCCAGAGAGCTCCTTTGCCCAGAAAATAAGCTCCTGCCGTTCCAGGCCCCAGGCCTGGGGGAGGGTCAGGCTGCCGCTGGCGTCCCCCGCTCTGCACCTCACCACACACCCGCTCCCACCCCCCACCCCCGGAAACAGAAAGCCCACCCAGGCCAGTCCTGGTGCTCAACCGGCAGCACTGTCTTGCCATGTCACTGCCCTTGTGCCGTCCCTGTCTGGCTTCACCTCTGAACTCGGCGCCCCCACGCCCCGTCCCAGCTCACTTACCTGACCTCCTCTTCCTCCTCCATTTTGGCTGATGCCTCCTGGATTCTTCAAGTGGTGTCGGGCACCCTCGCTGCTGGTCACACATTGCTGTCACCCAGAACCATTCAGATAACTCCCTACCCAGACAGGCTGAGGGGGTGTAACTCCCTGCGCCCCAACCCCCAGTCACTGGGACATGCGGCCAAGGCCTCGCAGAGCCTCTCGGTGCACGCCAGAAGCTCCCTGGGCCAGGAGCGTGTTTTGCTCGCCGTGGTAAGCCCAGCCCTCTCCCCCACACCGGGCATCTATTAGGCTGTGATGAGACGTCCACTTAGAGTCCATTAGCCCCACCTTGGCCCAATGCTCTGCCTGCTGCCTGGCTGCAGCCTCTCAGCCGCAGGACTGTGAAAGCTGACACAGGTGCATGTCTGCATCCCTGTGGTCCTTCAGTGCTTTGCTAGAAAAGTCCCTTCCTTGGAGAAAGAGCTCCAACCGGCTCCACCCCTGGACATCATTCATGTCTCTCCCCTTCCTCAGTGGGGTCAGATGTCTCGCTTGTGTCAGTCCCTAGAACTTGGCGCAGAGCCCCCAGCAAGATGGCGCCGGTTGCTGGAACGATTTCTTGTGCCTGCATCTTTTGGCTCATGCAGTGAGTGCTGGGGGCAGCGTGGCCTCTAGGGAGCGTTGTTTGCAATGGAGAGGGCCAGCCTAACTGGGAACACAACCTGTGCCAAGGCGACACCCTGTGCCCTCAGCTGTGCATGCTCCACCTGCTCCAGAGTGCCAGACAGGTGATTTGACGGCCTCCCCAACAGGTGTTGTGAACATAAAGCTATTCTGGGCTCCTAACCTCCAGCCCCTAAGAAGGCAGGGCTCCCTGCGTTATTAACCTCATCTTCCTGTGCACTGGGTATTCTGGATGTTTCTCTGCTGAACCTGGCAACCCTGAGAGGGAAGATGCCACTGGGTAGGAGGGGGACAGAGGCTCTGGAGAACACCAGCCCCAAGAGCCCCCCAGGAGCTGTGTAGAGGCAGCAAGTGGGTGCTCAAGCCCATCTAGGTGACCACCCAAGGGCCACCTCGGTGCTCCAGGCCATGGGTCTGAGCGCGGGCTGCAGGAGAGGGCTTGGCTACTGCTGATCCCTGGTGGCCCGGGTGGCGGCCATGGGGAAAGCAAGGCAAGAACATGGTTAAGCTGAGGACCTCCCAGCAACAATGACGATGTGCTGGAGCTCCTGGGAACCATCTCTCCTCCCCTAGGCACAACAGCACTGGCCCTGGGGACAGCGACCGGCACTCTGGGAGCTGCCTGTTGCTTCCGGGCAAGATGGTCACGCTCAGGCCTCATCTTATCCACCCTCCCTCTCCCAGCCACAGAAACTCAGGGTCAAGTCAGGCAAGAAGAGCAAAGTGTTTATTTACACCGTGACCTGTCCACTACAATTGCCTGGGAAGCCTGTTCCCTTCCGCATGGAAGCAGGCTGGAGGCAAAGAGCCCAGGACCCTGGGATGCTATGGCCCTAGGGCCCCACCCCTCCCTCTCTCCCTGGGTGCAAGTCCCACTGCAGCCCTAAAGCTAAGCCAGATGAGGCTCCTAGGGCAAAACAATTCAAGTGGAATCCCACAGAGCTTCAGAAACCATCTACAAAGCACTGGGCGTGAGGCCCCCTCCCACCCCACCCCTGCAACTGCATCTACCTGCGCCCTGGGAGACCAGACAAGACAGCAGGAAGAGCTGTGAGGAAGGGAACCAGCGGGCCAGGACCTGGGCATGGCACTGTCCGGCGGAGGTCCCGACGCGAGCTGGGTGTTTAACGGCACTCCGGTCAGAGCACCTTCAGCGGAGGAGGAGTGGCCAGGTGTTACCAGCAGGCAGGGACGGCAGCCGGAAGCCTCTTCCTTGTGCCATGGCTGTCCAAAATAACAGATACAGCCTAAATGACAGACCCTGCACCCAGGTCACTGCTAAGCCCCTGGAGCCACACAGCCAGGGCATCCTCCAGTGAGAGAGAAGCCCAGGCTGTCTGCACAGGAAGAGGCTGTGGGAGAAGCTGCATTGTAGTTTCCCTTCCCTGGGATGCAAGGCTTCTAAACTAGCTGCAGGCAGGGTGAGGGGCTTGGGGGTCCCAGCCCCCACGCTTAAGACAACAATGGAAGGTTCTGTACCAGATCACCAACACAGTCTACGACATGGCCGAGGGGGCCCCAGGGCATGGCCTTGCGCGTGGCTCTGGAGAGGGCCCAGGAGAGACATAGAAAAAGGGGCAGTGGGTGACACAGACGATCCTGTACAGTGGTGATGGGGCAGAAAAGGCACAAGGACAAAGACCCCAAACCATGCAGACGAAACAAGAGCCTGCGTAGCACAGCAGGGCAGCCGGCTCCCAGTGGGCGGAGGGGAGGCAGGTTCCCCTGGGATGCTGTGCCCAGCAGGTGGCTCTGGAGCAGACATCGCTACATTGTAGTCGCAATGGAAAGAGAAGGCGCCTACAAGGTCAGGACACCAAGGGCATGTGGGAAAGCGAGCACCTGGTGGGCATGGTGGTGTCACTCTTGACCAGACACAGAACTCTCTAGAAGGTGATCCTCCCCAGGGTGGGCAGCAATGAGATCCCTTAGAGCTGCGTTGCCAAGCATGCAGTCAGCAGGGTGTCAGGACCTGGGGAGTACCTAGGGTGAGTGCACACAGTCCCCTACCACTCCCCTGCTGAGGGCATGGCCCCTCTAACTTAACAGTCTTAGCAGCTTGCAGTGTCCCCTGAGGGGACAGGCCTCCCAGAGAGCTGGGACGAAAAGAGACGCTGGTGGACAGCAACTCTGCCATCCTTACTGGCCCTCTCAATCAAGATCCCCCTACCTCAGGAGTCATTATGAGCTGTAGGGTGACGCCACAAAACCTCCCCCTGGGCCAGTCACACTTAGACTTGCAAAACGTACCAGACATGGAACACCAAAGGGGCCCCGCTGGCATGGAAGCCCCTCACAGGACCAGAGAGCCAGCTCGGTGACCTCCTGGGCCACATAACCCTGCTTCGGCTGGGGCAAGCACACCTGACACCAACCTGCGGGGGCTGGCAGGACGCTGCTCGGGCTGCTAGCACGGAAGACGCTAACGTTCCCCCGCCTTGGCAGTAAACAGAAGAAAAAGCCGCAGGACCACAGGAGCAGACCAGCTCTTGCTCAGCTTCTCTCTGGGGACAGCCCTACTTGTTGGCTCCCAGAGGACTCCGTTGGGCTGATCTGGCTCTACCTGGTCTGTGTTGCTAACAGCCTGGAGGCGCTCGGCCTCCCAGCCTGGGGTCAGGAACCATGCACCTGCCAAGCTACCAAGGAGAGGCCATGGCCCCAGAGCACACGCCATCATCAAATGCCATTTTTGCCAGTGCAGATCCCTGTCTTGCAAGACCGGGCCTTGCCCTGGCTGCACCGCCCCAGCCCCTTGGGTGGGTGGGTGGGGGTGGTCTTGACACAGCTATGAGCCCCATATGGACATAGTCCATTCTAAATCTCATGTGGGGTTACCAGGCAGTGCCGAAAGCCCCCACTTCAAGACTCAGTGGCTTTGGCAGGTTGTTGAACCTAGAGTTTTTAAATAGGACAGAAATAACATCAACAAAAAGGAATTTGCTTCCGATAAATCTTAAAGTGTACTCATTTAAACTGGCCAATTCAAAGTATGTGTGTACATATATAGACATATTTTCTTTTTGCTAGAACTTTCTTATACCCAGCCCTGGAACGCAGCCTAGCTGGCTGAGGAGGCACTGCTTTCTACTTGTTAGAGTCACCTGGGGCTCAGCTGGGTGTGTGACGTGAGCACATCCCAAGCGCACGCACCCTCACCCTCCTGTCACCTCACACCTTCAGGCAGGTTGCTGCTAAGCTCGCTGGGGAGGGCGTCAGTCTTCTCGTCTCCCCAAAACCCCTGAATGTGAAGTCACCCAGTCCAATCAGAATCATCACATACGGATGCCAGCACCCACACCAATTAAACGGGGAGGAAAGGGGTCCAGCCCAGCCATGGGGATTGTTGAGATCGTCCCATTTAAAGTATCTCCCGAGTGTCGCTGGGGGTGTATTTACGCAGAACTGTCTGCTTCTGAGATCATAGGCCATCTTTGGCTCTCCGCCAGCCCCGCTGCAGAGGCGGGAGCAGGCTCCTCCACACCGCCCAACGCTCTGAACTGGCCCCAAGGACCCCTGTCCGCCCGGTTCGCAAGGTCAGAAGTTTGAGAACACACATGGGGGCTGGAGCTGTGGTGAAGTGGGTGAAGTCCCGCCCTTGCCGGCATTCCATATGAACGTCAGTTAGGAGACCTGGCTCTTCTATACCCACCCAGCTCCCTTCTAATGGTTTGGGAAAGCAGTGGAGGATGGCCCATATCCTTGGACCCGTGCACCCACGTGGGAGACCCGGAAGGAGCTCTGGGCTTCCGACTTCTAGCCTGATCCAGCCCCAGCCACTGCAGCTGTTTGGGGGGGAGTGAACCAGCCAGTGGAAGATCTCTTAACTCTGTCTTTCAAATAAATAAATCCAAAAAAAAAAAACCCAACCAAACAACAACAAAAAAAGTACATGATCTTAAAACGCCAAGTTGGCAGACGAGGCTTTCTAAGACACATTCAGAGATGACAGGAGGCTGGACGTGGCGTGCGTGCCGTGTGGAACCCAGCCCCTGTCCCACAAGCCCCTCTAGCACTTTCTGACTCTGCACAGTCTGTCCCCACAGCACTTCCACAGTCTGCACAACATGGCAGGCCGATAGTCCTCCCCTCCCTCAGCTGTGATGGGGGCAGCTCTGGCCCCACCAGGGCAGCTGGGAGCATGAGTGCCTCGAGCAACATGCTGCCCACGGGCCGGAAGCTCCTTCCCTGAGGAAGCCAGCCGCTGGCCAGCTAGCCGCATGGCCTTCCCTGGCCCGTCTCATGCTTTTCACTGCCTGTCCACTGGCCCTTGGAGCCCCAGCCCCCGGCCTGGGCTCCTGGGTTCCTGGGCCCAGAGTCCTGGGTCGGAGCCATGTAACCTATTTTCTGCAGCCTGAATGGACTCCAACATCGGATTAGGAGGAAGCACAATCCGGCAAGTGTATAAGCCTACTGAGCAGCTGGAAGCCCGGATGGCCCACAGCCCCCCTTTGGCAGGCCCTAGACTCCTGTAGCCCTGGACCTTCCATGCCCCAACCCTGCGTTCATGCAAGGTATATGGAAGAAAACCAGCCCACAAGCGTCTAAAGGAAGGAGACCCCGCACCGAGGGGACACACTGGAGGACTGGGAGCAAACCCGGCGCCAAGCCCCTGCCATGCGGAGCGCAGCATCGCAGCACAGACCCGAGGCGTCAGTCCTGCCAGTGCTCACAGGGTGGAAGACTAGGATTTCCTGCGACCTTCCCGCCCGACACAGGTGTTTCTAAAACCCCCGACAAATGGCCCAGAGCTCAGCTTCAGAAACCCAGAACCTAGGGCCGCCCTCCCCAGACCGAGTGGAGGAGGGGAACTGGCAGGTGATGCAGGATGACCCAGTCCCACACCTGTCCCAACCTGACCTGCTAGGAGCCACACCCATCCCCCATCAGTTCTTTGGTTGCCCACCCGCAACATTTGCCTTCCTTTCTCCCCCACTTCGTTTTGTCCTGCCATCTGATGCCAAGTGAATGCTGCTTTTCTCTTCATTGTGTTAAAACCAAGAAGGGGAAGGCAGAAGTGGTCAGATGGGGCGTGCATGAAGAACCCTAAAAATGCTGAGCACTCAGCCTGCTCCTCTGCAGGCCTGAGCCCCTGGGGTACTGTGTACCTGCCTCATGGGGGCTGCTGGCCAGGGCCCGTGCGAGCGAGGACCCCCTCTGCAGGCTCCCCCAGATCCTCTCTGAGCTCCCCACTCCCCACTTGTGGCTGGGGAAGGAGAAGGGGCAGAGACCATCTCACTCACTTTATAATCCTAATCCCCAGAGGTAGAATCATTTATCCAGGACCCAACATACAGGCTTCCAGTTCTCACTCTCACAGGGACTCCCAGGAGCGGCCCTTGCCCCTTCCCTTTCCAGTTCCCACTGCCCCTGGCCCAAGGGGCTAAAGTGCATGGACGGGTCACCCCCAACCACGGCCCCACTCACGCCTGGCGCGTGCACACAGACACTGGCATGTGGGACACATGGTGGGCACGGATGCATCGACGGGGTGGGGGTGAGTGGCCCGCCTGCGCCCGCGGCCCAGGGTCTGGGGACTGCCCTGCAGCCCACCCCCGGGGCTCAGTGCTTGATCTCCAGGATGGAGGGGTTGTGGTCCAGGATGGCCAGGATGATCTTGTCCATGTACTGCCGCAGCCGGAAGTTGATCTCCTCCTGCTCCTTCAGGGCTTCCATGAGCTGCAGGTGAAGAGACAGACAGCTGAGAGGCCGGGGCTGGGGGCGCGGTGTAGGGGGCTCAGGAGACCCTGGAGAAGGGGACCCCGGGCTATGTCAGCATGCAGTTCTAGGGGAGCAACAGCCGTGCACATGTCTGCGTCCCACTCTGATGATTGGTCTGGAGGAGGGACAGGAAGCTGTTGGCTAGAGGTGCCAACCGGCCTTGGGCACTTAGTCAGAACGGACAGAAACTCTCCTGGGCCCAACACTGTGGCTGCTCCCACTCCACGGTACCCTGTCCCCTCCTGCACCCTTCCTGGGTCCTTGTGGCAGCACTGAGCCATGAACTCTTCCTGGGCTGGGACAGCTGCCTGGCTCATCAGGGAAGCTCCCTGAGGTCAGTGGTCAGCCCGGGTCCTGGGTAGGACTGAGGAGTAAGCCGCCATTTGTGACACCCACATTCCATGTTAGGACACCTCTTCAAGGACCCAGCTGTTCCACTTCCCATCCAGCTCCCTGCTTGTGGCCTGGAATGCAGCAGAGGACGGCCCAAAGCCTTGGGACCCTGCACCCGCATGGGAGACTTGGACGAAGCTCCAAGTTCCTAATCAGTTCAGCTCTGGCTGCTGCAATCATTTGAGGAGGGAATCAAATGGAAGACCTCTCTCTGTGTAAAATCTGCCTTGCCAATAAAAACATATCTTAACAAAAAAGCAAACATGCAGCTAGGGTCTTCTGGGGGCCTGGGTGGCATCACCCGCTGAAAAGGTGGGTGTGGGTGCAGGGGAAACCTGGGGCCCTCCGTGCAGGACCCCGGGACCCTGGGTCCTGGCTGCCCAGGCAGTAAGTGGAGGGGAACGCCCAAGTTGCTGTGAGTGGAAGTGAAAACGGACCGCAAAACCTGCGCTGGCGGACCCTCTGCCGGCGCCGCCTGCGAGCAGACCCGGCGCGGCGGGGCCGGCTACCTCGTCGCGGGAGGCCGTGTCGATCTCTGCCGCCAGGGACTGCGCTTTGGTCTGGGTGGCAAACAGGTTCTTGGCTTCGTAGAGGCTGAGGCTCAGGATCTGGCCGTTCAGGTCGTCGTTCTGATCCCGCAGCTTGTGGTTCTCCTATGGGAGAGCCAGGGCAGGCGACAAGGTCAGCTCCGAGAGGCACCCGGGACCCTCAGCACCCACCATCTCCCTCCCCTTCCTGCAGGCATGGGAGCAGGAAGCCTGGGGTGGGGGCAGCTCCTGGACACCTGAGCCTGACTGTCCTTTCCGCCCAGCGCCCTGCCAGGGCACACTGGCCGCGGGCAGCTCAGCCTCCAGCCTGGCCCCAGGATCTCTGGGGCATCCGAGGGTGCTGCTCCTGCCCAGATCCTGCTCATGGCCCCGAGGCCCAGGCACTGGAGACCCTGCACCCGTGTCCTTGCTCTTGGCTTGAGGCTGCTACTTAGCCTGAGACCTGGAAGGATACAAGTGTGGATCTACAGCTCACAGGGCCGCTGCCCCTTGGGGCACTGGCTCCTGTTCCGAGCCTGCCTGGTCTCCCGGAAGACAGCACTGTCGGGAACATGGGGAATGGAACTCTGCATGCAGGGTCCCTGGGTGCAGCCCCAGAGCCAGGCCCTGGTATGCAGCTGGCCACAGCCTTCTCTTCCACCCGACGCACCACAGCCAAGGGGTAGCTGCACCCCCTGCCACGGATACACAGGAAAACTGCTGGGATCTCCACTACAGCCAGCCGGAGGTAATCACTCTACCAAGCTGGGAGGTGGAAGGCCAGCCCCAACACAAGGGAGTTGGAGCTGCTGCGAGGGGCTACTAGCCCACCTGGCTCCCTGGCCTGGGGTCCTGCACGACCAGCCCACCTGACCGCCATGGCTGCCTTGCCCTGTGGGACAGAGGCCCCGGGACCCACCTGCTTCAGCCGCTTGACCTCATGTTCCAGCTCCACCTCGCGGGCCCTGGCGTTGAACTCGCCTAGGCCGGATGAGCTGCGGCCGCGACCTGGCCGCTCGCAGTCCAGCTTGTACATCTGCAGGTGCTCCAGCTCCTTCCGCAGGTCTTCAATGAGCTGTGGGAGACCGGGGCTGGTTGGCAGGGACAGCGATGCAGGTGGCAGCCCTGAGGCCCTCGGGGCTGGAACTCACCTCCTGGGTGGCTTCGCGCTCCTTCTGGAACTCGAGGCGGTTCTGCCGCAGCTTGTCCATCATGCGCTTATACAGGTCCATCTCGTCCTTGAGCCGTAGGCTGGTGTCCTCCAGCCGGTCGGACATGCGCTGCCGCTCCTGGGGGCGGGGGAGGAAGGGGGAAGGGGAGATGGGGGAAGAGTGGGGGGATGGGGCAGTGCCCAAGAAGGGGGCATCACTCCACAGCACTTCCTGGGGCGTGTGGCCCACCACTCCCCCTGGTCACAGCCCTCCGCGGCATGGCTTATGGAAGTCCTGGCTGCTCCACTTCCCTTCTAGCTCCCTGCTGATGGCCTGGGAAAGCAGCAGAGGATGGCCCAGGCACTGGAGACCCTGTACCCACGTGGGAGACTCAGAGGAGGCTCCAGGTTCCTGGCTGTGGCCTGACCCAGCCCCAGCCATGGCAGCCATTTGGGAGTAAAGCAGCGGATGAAAGATCTCTCTGACTCTCCCTCTGGCCCTGTCTCGGTAATTCTGCCTTTCAAATAAATACATTCTTAGAAAAACAAAACAAAACAAAACAAAACAAAACAAAACCACTGTTGGTTAAAACAAAAAAGTACCCAAACACCCAGAACCTGTGTGCTGAGGGTCTCCAGGTCTCAGACCTTCACCTTCAGAGAGGCCAGCGGGGGTGGGACAAGGGCACCAGCCAGACACAGCGACTTTCTGTCAGTGTTTTAAGGCCGTCCTTTCCCCCACCACCCAAGCCACCTATTCACTGTAGATGGCTTAAAACGTTATACAAATAAATACACAAATTATCATCCACACTGGCTCTTTTTTCTTTTTTTTTGCATTTCCCGCAATAGGGCCGTTCCCTACAGTCTGGGATAGCAGCAACTAGAGGCCCCCAGTGGCCAACTCAGCTTCTCCGTGAACTGGGCTGCTCACCTCATCCAGCTTCTCCGTCTGCGACTTGAGCCGAGTCACCGTCGTTCGAAGCTCCGTGTTCTCTTCCTCCAGCTGCTGTACCCTGCGGGAAGGACAAGGCGGCAACCTCAGGACTCGGGGAGGGAGATGCTCGCACAGGGGACCAACCGATTGTGGCCGCCTCCTGTCCTGGGGGAGGAGACATGCTGGGGGCTGCAGAGGGCAGGATGATGGCCCCAAATGAGAGCTCCCTGTCAGTCAAGGAAAAACAGGCAGGTTGCTGAATTAGCCTTATTTTTCAATGAAAGGGAACATTCATTTGTCAATAAGAAAGCAAATTTCTTTTGGCAAACATTTTTTTCTTTTCCCAGTATTTTCTTTCTATTTAACTTATAGCCTGGGAAGGCAGTGGAGGATGACCCAAAATCTTGGAACCCTGACCCTCTGGGAGACCCGGAAGAAGATCCTGGCTCCTGGCTATGGATCAGCTCAGCTCTAGCTGTTGCGGCCATTTGAGGAGTGAACCAGTGAATGAAAGATCTTTCTGTCTGTCTCTCCTTCTCTCTGCAAATCTGCCTTTCCCAATAAAAATAAATAAATCTTGAAAAACAAATTTATTTATTTGAAAGGCAGAGCTACAAACAGAGGGAGAAATAGAGATTTTTCATCTACTGGTCTGCTTTCCAAATGACTGCAATGCTCAGAGTTTGGCTGGTCCAAAGCCAGAAGCCAGGAGCTTCATTTGGATCTCCCATCTGGGTGCAGGGGCCCAAAGTCCTGGGCCGTCCTCCACTCCTTCCCAGGTGCACTAGCAGGGAGCTGGATCAGAAAAGCAGCAGCCAGGACTTGAACTGCCATCCATGTGGAATGGTCATGCTGCAAACAGCAGCTTCATCCACTACACCCACAGCACCAGCCTCTTTGCATGCATCTTTTGAACCTTAAGACACCGTGAGGCTGGGAGGGTTGCTTTCCAGTCTTCCTGCGGCTGACTGTGACTGGGGTTCCCAGCAGGCACGGTGAAGATGCCACCTGAGATGCCCAGGTCCCAGACTGGGCTGGGTGGATCTGCTTCTGATCCACCTTCCTGCCAACATGCACTCTGGCAACAGCATTGATAGCTCAGGTCCCTGGGCCCCTCGTATCCACAAGGGAGACCTGAATGGAGCTTGGGGCTCCTGGCTTTGTCCTACCCCAGTCCTGGCAGTTTTGGGTACCAGGGGAGTCAATTTGTCCATGGAAGGTCTGTTTTTGCCTGCCTCTGTCTGCCTCTAAAATAAATGAAAACAGATATATTAAAACAAAACCAACCAACTTAGCAGTGGGCAGGCAGCAGCTTTCTGTGCCTTTCAGCATGGCCAGGGCACCTGTCTCCACGCCCCCCTGCAACTGCCTCTGATACATCACACAGCGTGCACCTGGGTTAGCCTGCACATAGGGGCTGCCCCCTTCAATGACCCCTCAAGATCACGGAGCCTGGCTGCTCGGGATGAGGGGGCACTGCAGCCAGCACGGTTGTTCTTGGCTCGGAGTCCTGCAGAGCGCACACAGCTCACGATTAGACCAGGTACCTCATGGTGCCAGGAGGGCCTGAGTGCTTGGAGAACAGGCTTCCAAACCAGGGCCAGCCAAGAATGCAGAGCAGAGGCTCTGCCAGCAGAGGCTGGGGGAGGCGGTGAGGGCTGAAGCCACCCAGGCCCTGAGAGCTCCGTCTGCATCCTGGACATGAAGAACCCAGCAGACACTTCTCAAGGGCTGGCTTTCCACGCCATGTGCTCTGGGCCACACCCTGTGCCTGCCACCAGCCAGGCCCCAAGTCACCTCTCTCTTGCTGGCAGCTGTCAAAAGTCTCTTGAGTCTAGGCGATCTTCCTGAAGGAGGCTCCAACTCCAGAAACTGACACAACCAGCTTTTGGAATATGAGCCAGCATTTAAAATGATCCCCCCCCCCCCCCCCCCGCTCCCCAGGGACCAGGTTAACTCAGCAGGTCCGAGGCAAGAATCCTCACCAACACCAACAGCACAGGGCCTGGTCGCCCGTGGGCCTGCTGGCCCTGGCAGGCCTCGTGGTGCCTGCCTGAGAACTTCACGGTGTAGGCAGGAGCCCAGCTTCCAGCCATTAACTCAGCAGTCCCCTCACTCCAGGCTGGGAGCTCAAGAAAGAGACTGGGGTCTTGTCTGGCCAGCGCTGAAGTCAGCACGGGTTAAAAAGCCCGTCTTGCTGAGTGTGGTGGATTGATGGACACTGGCTGCCTCACAGTGTGATGCTTGTGTGGGACACACAGGAGCCTGATGAGCAGGTAGGGGATGGATGCAGCACCTCCAGGGCTGTACAGCCAATGGGTGACCAAGCTGGGCTCTCAGGGAACTCTGTCTTGGGCACCTGAGGCCTGGCAGCCTGCAGCTTTGGGTTCCTGGTTTTCTACCTGCTTGGCCCCTGGGGCTGGGGCTCAATCTGTCCCCTTGTTCAGCATCATGGCAGGATGTGACAGCAGGGGGCACTCCAAGCCTGGACACCAAATGCAACCCAGAAAACGCACGCATTTGAGGAACATTTCCAAAAGTTCTTGAAAATGTTTGTTATGAAAACTAAAGGTGGATTTTAATTTTTCAGTGCTAAAATAGACTTTTTAAAAGATTCCTTCATTTATCTGGAAGGCAGAGTTACAGAGACAGAGCTCTTTCATCCACTGATTCACTCTGCAAATGACTACAATCGCCACTGCTAGTCTGGGCTGAAGCGGGAAGCCCAGAGTTCCAATCAGGTCTCCCGCGTGGATGCAGGCACCCAAGCCCTTGGATTACCTCCTGCTGCTTTCCCAGGCTGGATCAGAAGAGGAACAGCTGAGCCACAAACCGGCACTCCTGCTGGGAGGCCATTTTTTTTTTTTTTTTGGCTTTTCAACTCGAGAGGAAAAGAGACACAGTGAAGGAAACATGAGACAAAGAGACAGAACTCCACACCCTCTGGCCCACTCAGCAAAGTCCTGTGATGAAAGGGCCTGGGCCGAGCTAAAGCTGTGAGCTAGGATAACTCAATGCAGGCCTCACATGGGTGGTAGGATTCCAATTCCTTGAGCCATCACCGGCAGCTTTCTCTTAGGGTCTCCATGAGCAGGCAGCTGGAGTCAGGAGCCAAGGCCAGGCACTGAACTCGGGCATGCCCTTGTGGGATGAAGCCACTCAACCTAACCAGTGTCTTAGCTGCTGGCCTCTAAAGCTTCTTCTAACTGCAATGTCCATGAACTTTCTGAGGGCCCCTCATTGCCATCCCTCCTAGGGGATGTAGAACCGTGAGGATAAGAGGCTGGCTGCCCTGGTACACCATGGGAGTGCCCGCGGGCCCACCTGCTGTGCAGCAGCTCCAGCTCCGTGCTCTTCTCCCGCTCCAGCTTGCTGCAGGCCTCGCGGTGTCGCCGGGCCTCCTCCTCCAGCGCCTGCGCGGCTGTGGTCTCCTGGTCCTTCACCATCTCCTCCAGCTCATGTACCCTGGGGGTGCAGGGTGGAGGGCAACCTCAGGCAGGGCCAGCTCTTGGGGCCTGCCGTCAGCTCACTTCCCCAGATGCTTGGCCACCCCTGGATGCAAAGCCTCGGGTCTCACCCTTCCTCCTCCTCCTGTTGGTCTCCTTCCTGGGCAGTTCCCTCAGCAACAACTGGCTTAACTGAACACCCTGACTCCAAAATCAGGTACATCCTGGCTAGCGGCCCTGAGTAGGCCGGGCCTGAGCAGCACCCTCCACCAGGCTGACCTTCCTGTGGACAGCAGCCTCAGCAGCAGACCCCAGATGGGACTCAGCCAGCTGGCGCCCCGCTGCCTGGTACGGACAGAGGACTCATCCGTCCACCACCCCTCAGGAAACGTGATGCTCCGGCAGCCCCGTGCCCACAGCAATAGGGCTTTTCCTCGCACCCTGCCCACTGACCTCTCCTGCTGCAGAGCCAGTCCCCACGAGGGGAGGAAGGACCCTTGTCCCTAGAGGAAAAGGCAGGGGGACCAGGGCTACAGGCCTGGTGGTGCCCACACGGGCCTGACCTGTGTACCAGCTGCGTGTTCTCCTGCCTCAGCTTGCTCTTCAGGTCGCCATTGGCCAGGCTGTCGTTCTCCAGCTCCGTCACCTTTTTCTCCAGGAAGCTCACCTGCAGCACAAAGGGCCTCAGGAATAAGAACCCAGAGGTTCATGATCAGACCACCCAGCCCTGCCACCCGCACCCCCTGGGGACCCCCTCTGCACCCATTCAGGTGGGGCGCACCTTCTCTGTGATGTCATTGTCACAGGAGTCAATGCTGTCCCGAAACAGGTCCTCGGTGCTGCCGTTGCTGCTGCTGAAGTTGCTGTTGTGCAGGAGCTGCCTGCGGGGTCAGGGAGGGACACTGTGGGGACTGCAGCCTGTCCTGGACCCCAGGGGAGCCACCTGCACTCAGCCAGGGGGACGAACCTGACCTCTGACCCCGACCACAATAGACCAACCAGCTCGGGGCAGGGCGGCCGCAGCACCGCACCTCCTCATGCCTGTGTCCTAGCCAGCAGCTCCCAGGCAGCCAAGGCCAGCCTGCGAGGACCCCCTGCCTCAGCCCTTCTTCAGCTGGAGGACAGGGTCCTCCCCACAGTCCTGCCACCTGCGCCCTGGAGGTGCAATGACCTGCTCCCAAGGGCACACACAAACTGGACTCTGCCAGTAGGGACAGCAGCCACCAATACCAGGGCACCCAGTGCACCTATGCCAGCTGAGGCTGTGAAGGTGCCCACCCCTGCCAGGGAGGATGGGGCAGGGGACATGGAAGCCCTTTGCTTAGCAGCCCCTGTGGCTGCACCACCCTGGGACGGTCCTGTGCCCCTCTCTCCTTGGCTGCACACAGGGTACCAGGTACCAGGCTGCTGGCAGAGTCCCGGGCAGCTGAGAGGACAGCCCCCAGCCTGCTCTCCCTGCAGGGGTCCTTACCGTCCGAAGGCTGTGCTGGAGATCTTGCGGTTGGGGCTGGAGATGGGGAGAGGAAATGATCACGGATCAGAAGAGTTTGAGTCCACAGGACAGAGTGTGGGACGGGCTGCCCCCTCCCCCAAGAGGAATTCGCTCCTTGCAGGGAGAGCCCCTCGGGGACCGGCGGCCCCTGGCGCTCTCTTGGGTGACCCTGCCGGGCCTAAGGCCTCACCTATTGGCCTTGAGGCTTTTGAGCCGGGCTTCCAGGTCGTTGAGCAGGTTGATCTTCTTGCAGCACTGGGCGCAGTACACGTCAAGCAGCTCACTATTATAGGCGTGCCGCATCTTCCTGGGGGTCTGACCCGCGCTGGGGTACCCAGGGAGAGAAGTCAGTCCCTGAGTGGCTGCCCCACCTGCCTCGTCCCAAACCCTGCCCAGAGGGCACTGTGGACCGGAGGATGGGGGATGGAGGGAGACACAACCACACAGAGCATCCCTCCTCTGCTGCTCGGAGATGCAGCAGGGACTTTGTGCCCACTCAACAGACAAGGCAAACTGTCAGCAATGACTCGGGTGCATGGGAGGGAATTACACAAGGTGGCTGGGAAGGACCCTGAAACACTGAGGCTCCAGGGAGTAAGATGGTGCAGACCCTGTGCCCCTGGCTGTCCTAGGTCAGTTAGGAGGAAGTGGGAGACTCCAGCACATGGAATCTATGCAGCTGAGCATGGCCACCCGGGGCCTGGGCCAGCCGGGCCGCCTCCTGCCACAGCTCCCCACCTGGAAGACACGGACGAGCCCAAGTCCGAGTAGACGTTGGTTCTGGTTTCATCGTCGGGGCAGGGGCTGCTGGGAGCACAGTCCACATCATCGGCCTCTCCGTAGTCTTCAAACTGCTCCTCGTTGCTGATGAGGGAGGCAGTGGAGTGTGTGGACAAGTCCGACGTCGTCACAGAAGGGGCATGCATTAGAGACCTGGGGCCGGACAGCATCCGTGTTGGAGAGCTGTTGCTAGGAGCTGCAACAGCTTGGACCACTGGAACCAGTGAGGGGGCGGGGGAGGTGGTGAGGGGACCCTGGCCTGAAGGACACATCTCACTACAGGCCCCATTTCTGTACAAGAGCTTGTCAAGCCCTGGCCAGCTGCCCTAGAGCAAGTATGAGCCATAGTGAACCACAGCCAGTTAGATTCAATAATGGTGATTACATTAATGCAGAGACTATTAGATTGTGGAAATCAAGTAGTTGCCGAAAGGTTTGTAAAAATATTGGCCATTAATGTGGGGGGAGTGGACACAAATAGGCAGGAAGGAAAGGGCCTGCCCAGAATGAGGTAAAGCAGGAAAAACCAAAGCATGACAGGGTAGCAGTTTGGGTTTAGGTGCTCAGTCATTCTCCTCTAATCTGGCTTGTCCAACTTCTCTCTTGTCTAGCTGGCAGGTGCACCCTGCATACTGGAACTACCTTCTCAAATAAGTGACAGTGAGCTGCTGGCCAAGAAGCAGCTCCTAGCTCAGGTGCGGCCATTGGTTCCAATGAAAACCACGACTCCTGACCCAGTCCTGCTGCTGCCTGGCACTGGGGTGCTCTGTGCCTCCATCCACCCTGAATGCTCAAGGAAGCCAGGCCTGTGATGCAGAGCCGTGCAGGCCCTCACACCTCTGCCCTTCCAAGGCTGGTGGGCACTTCCAGGCCCAGAGTGTCACACAGCTGCAACTCACTTGTCATCAGGCAGAAACAGGCCGCCAAGCTCCCGGGCCTTCTCCTCCGCATGTCCGATGGAGCCCTCCAGGCCCTGGGTACTCTCCATGGGGCTGTCCATGTCTGACTCCTGCGGGCCCTCAGGAGAGGCCAGTGTCATCGCCTCCTCCTCGTCCTCGGGGAAGAAGCCGGACTCCGTGGGGATGAACTCGCCATCAGCGAAGCTGGGGGCTGAGATATCGCTGTCCTGGGGGAGACATGGAGAGCCAGGGTTGGCAAGGCTAGGACACCAGCAGGGGCATGCAGGCAGGCCTGGACACTAAGACCTCGAGTTTGAGAATGTCAGGTAGCTGACTAGTCCCACAGGCCTCTCCTGTTGGCTGATTTATGAGGGTCCAGTGAGGGACTTCCCAAAGATGGCTGCCCAAGCATGACACGGGCTGCGTCCCGGCGGGAGGAGGAGGCACCTGGGCAGCCCTGGAGTCTTCCAGGAAGTCAGACGAGTTGGATCAGACTGCCTGGCCATCTGTAGGAAAGCTACATCCACACTGAATGGCCTTTCAGAAGGGTGACCATGACCCAGCAGAGACTTGCGGAGGCCTGCATGCCCCAGCCACAGATGCTCATGGGACCTCCATGTTGATGGAACCAGCACCTTCCTATGAGCAGTGGGCAGCACAAGGCAGGACCCTGCAGAATGAATCCCGGCCACAGGCTGTGAGGATGCCGACCAGGGAGGAAACTGCCCTGGCTTGATGTAGCCACAGTCCTGCTGGGCGGCGAGGCTGTAGAGCCCTGGACCAGGCACGCCCACGATGGGTCCAGGCCTAGAACACTGCCTAGCAGTGTTGAAATGCAAGGAAGACGTGCCTGCACCTGTTGTTAAAATCATCTTGAAGATGAGCTCTGCCTTTGTTCAGAGTTACTCTATACTGAGGGGCAGCTTTCTATAAACTGCTTGCTCCTCTCTCTCTAAGTATTTAAGATACACAGAGAGAAAAGAAGGGGAGAGAGAGACATGGTTAGTTTCCATCTTCTGGGTAACTTCCCAGATGTCCCAACAGCTGGGGCTGGACCAGGCATAAACCAAGAGCACCACCCGGCTCTCCCATACAGGTGGCAGAGACCCACACATTTCAGCATCACTGCCGTCTTCCAGGGTCCACCCACATCAGCACAAAGTTAGAACCTGCATTAGGAACTGGAACCAGAGGCTGTCACGTAACACGCAGGTGTTGAAAACGGCTCTTAACCACAGCACCAGTGTCTGCCCCTACAGATCTCATCCTGAACTGTTTCCAAGGTAGCCAGCACTTCCCGGGTGGAAGTACCACTTGCTTCTGTCCAGGTGGTCAGCTTCTCTGGAGGCTCTATGTGTGCCCATCTGCTGGACTGGCTGAGCACCCCACAGCTCACCCCTCAGCCAGGCTACAAGAAGGGTGGTGGGCATGAGGACTGGGGAAGCCCGTGGGGGTCTCAGACAAGAAAAGACTCTGGGACAACTGAGGAAGATGCTAGATGGCAGGCTTGGGTGTGCCCAGCCAGGAGACACCTGGGTTAAGAACAGGTGGCCACTGATGAGGTTGGCTCCTGCCATGGCACAATGCCCCTGAGCACCACATGCCAGGTCCCCTCAACTGTGACCAAGAGGCTCCAGAATCAAAACCAGCCCTGGGGTTCACAGGGTCCTTCACGTGAAGGATCACACGTGGCTGATCCAAGCCTACAGGCTCCCAGCCTGCAGATCATGGGTCCCAGTGAAGCTCTTCACCCATATGTTCAAGTTCTCGGAGACCACCAAATTCCAGGGACAGAGCCCTGAGGTTCTGTCACGCCCCCCCCTCATCCCACTGCTGGGTCTCTGAGAAGACCCCAACTAGCAGGCGGGGACCCTGTACCACCAGCTATCACACACTTGACTCCACAGCAGTTGATGGGCTCACCCTGCATGGATTTTCAGGCCTCAGTAAGGATGAGGATGGGACACTCAACAGGGACAGGACCAAGCATGATGTCCAGGCATTCCCCATCTGCCATGTTTGCACTATCCAGGCCCACGGCAGGCTCTGGGACCATGTCGTGGTGGAGCTGCCAACGGGAGGAGAACTTGAGGAGGTGCAGTGGTGTGGTTCACTCCTTCAGTGGTCCATGTCTGCCTCTGGGGCAGTCAAGTCAGCTCCCACCCAGAGCTCACCTGAGAGGCCAGCTGCATGGCCAGTGACTGGCCCTCTCGCTCCTCACCGCGGCCTTCTCATCCAGCCTCCAGCCTCCTGTGCTTGTACTGGAAGTGGGGAACCTTGCCTGCAGCCAAGTGGGAGATGGTGGCAGGATGGGGACTGTAGCTGGGTCCTGCACCCACCCAGCAGGCCCGCAAAGTGCCCAGTGAAGGACCAGCCCCAGGGCTGCTCCAGGGCCTGGCCTGGGCTCCAGACAGCTCATGGATGGCTCACTGGACATTGAGGAACAGGGCTCAACTTGGGCTCTCTGTCCCCAGCACCCCAACTGAGGTAGGTGGGTGGGGGGCCTACCGGCATCCCAGCCCAATGACCATGGCAGTGTCTGAGGCTCCTGACCAGGCCAGGGGAGGGGGCCAGAGAGGCCAATTTTCCCTGCCTCACTGAATCAGCCCATGAATGAACCGAGGCCACATGGGCCTACGCCAGTGGCCCCGGGTCAACCAACCCCGCAGCAGCCCTGCACGAGCGCCGGCCAGGATACAAAGCAGATGCAGATGCAGGACTCAAGTCCCCTCTGACGCTCTGAGAAGCAGGGTGCAGATGGGAGGGTGGCCCGGGGAACTGCTGGGTCATAGAGGGCCCAAAGCCAGGCCTCCTGGACATGCTGAGTCCAAGGCCCAGCACCCAGCCCCGTACTGCCTCCTTTGCTAAAATCAGATGCTCCAGGGCAGGCCCTGGGCACAGCATCGTGTGTCCTCAGGCAGCAGGTGACGACTCAAGTATTTTGTGTCACTGACACCCACATGGGAGTTCGGGCTCCTGGCTTAGGCCTGGCTGTTGCTGGAATTGGGGAAATGAAAAAGTGGGTAGAGATCTCTTTTTGCCTTTCAAATCATACAAAACAAAAACAAACTAAATCACTCCCTACATAACATCTTCTCATTCAACCCACACATATTTGCCCAAGGCAAGTGGAAACTGCCTGTCCCTAGTCCCGCTCCACGTGACCTGTGTCCTGGACCAGAGCCACTCTGGCCAGGCTTGCTCCCCGCTGTGGGCCTTAGCCCCTTGCCCTGGCTGGGCCCTTGGGGGAAGGTCTGGGAGGAACCAGCCCTTCCTCCCACCCTGCCAAGGAGGGCAGCCCCGTCTGATCCCACACACTTTCAGGAAGGCAGGCAGGACCAGCGGGTATCTGCCTGGTACCAGCAGCAGCCTTTGTCCCCACCTTGGCCCTCTATTCTCACTGGCTGGGAGAGTTCATGGTCACACTAGAAACCGTCTGACCCGAGGCCTTTGTGTTTTCAGATGCAGTTGCAGAAGGAAAGCGAGAACTTGTCCATAGTAAAAACGTTGCCCCTGTGGGGTTTCTGGCTGGCCTGGGGATGCAGACAGGGAGCAGCCCAGCAGCTGGCCACCTGCAGGGCCAGGCCTGCATGGAGATGAGGGTGTCCAGTACAAATGGGAGACCTCAGGGACCCTGGAGGAGCTAAGGGAATGACCAGTGGAGTGGCGGAAGGGACGGTTAGGCAGAGTTGCACCAGGCAAACGCAAGACTGTAGATGGGGGTGTGGCGTCACCCCACTTCAACAGCACCACGCTTGTTGGAAGGCTCATAGAACTACCCACTTTTACCACACAAGTCTCCCCCCCCACCACCGAGGGGCAAGAGAATGCAAGGACTGTGTAGGGATGGAGGACAGAGGCAGGGACGAGCTGCTCTGGGAAGAAGGTGAACACCCCTATTCTCCCTCATTTTGTGCACCTGCCAGGACCCGTTCTGCAATGCAGAGTGTTCACCAGCAGCTAGGCTGCTCCAACCCCCACTTCCCCTGGGCTCGGCTCCCATGGGTTGTGGGGATTGAAGACCAAAGATGGTCTAGCACTTTCTATCCATGTTTCGTTCCTCTGCTTCTCTTTGTTTTAACAAGGCACTCACTTCGCATATCTGGCTCTCACTTTTATACTGAAAAAAGAATCAGGGTGCACTGCCCTGCCATCACACAGCTGTCCCAAAGCCAGGCACACCAGTCTGTGGCATTCTCTGAGCTGCTAGTGTGCGAGGAACGTGGGTGTGGGTGGCCGTGTTTCCACATGTCATTGTGGGAGAAGACCCCACAGAGGTAGCACCTGCATGGCATGGAGGAGCACATGCAGCAGGGAAGCTGGGAGGAGTCCACCCACAGGAGCCCGGGGCCTGGGGCCAGTCCTGTAATGGCCCCGGAGCCTCACCCAAGAAGCAGGGACACAGGGACCCACATGGCATCACTGCCAGGGAGAATCCAGCACAGAGATGCAGCTGAAGGGTGCTGAAGGCGTGACAGAGGGGCTGGCAGCCCCAGGGATAGTTCTGTGGTAGATGGCCGGGGTCGAGCCCTGCTCCCTACTCTGGAAGGTGGCATTAACAGTGACCAGGGGTCTGGCACAATAGCCTAGTGGCTAGAGTCCTTGCCTTGCAAGCACTGGGACCCCGTATGGGCACTGGTTTGTATCCTGGCTGCTCCACTTTCCTTCGCAGCTCCCTGCTTGTGGCCTGGGAAAGCTGTCCAGGAAGACCCAAAGTCTTGGGATCCTGCACCCCACGGGAGACTCGGAAGAAGCTCTTGGCTCCTGGTTTTGGTTTGGCTCAGCTGCAGCCGTTGCAGCCATTTGAGGAGGAAAGATCTTTCTGTCTCTCCTTCTCTCTGTAAATCTGACTTTCCAATAAAAAATAAATGTGGGCCCAGCACGGTATCCTAGCAACTGGTGTCCTCGCCTTGCATGTGCCCGGATCCCACTTGGGTGCCAGTTCTAATCCCAGGGGCCCTGCTTCCCATCCAGCTCCCTGCTTTGGCCTGGGAAAGCAGTGGAGGACGGCCCAAAGCCTTGGGACCCTGCACCTGCGTGGGAGACCTGGAAGAAACTCTGGACTCCTGGCTTCGGATTGGCTTGTCTTGGCTCTGGTCATTGTGGCTACTCAGGAAGTGAATCAGTGGACGGTGGATCTTCCTCTCTGTCTCTCCTCCCTCCTCTCTGTATATCTGCCTTTCCAATGAAAATAAATAAATCTTTAAAATTTTTTTTAATTAAATAA